ATATATAGAACGCAATACCTTCTTCAATATTATGACGAACGCGTGTAAACCACAGTAGTATTGCATCCCGGAAACCAAACGTTCTGGCTCCTGGGTTGTATTGCTCATCTTGTTCCTCCAGCCGATCCATGAAAGCTTCAAACTTCTTGATCGATTGGAATCTGGTCCAATAGCGAACACTTTCAGCATTGTTGTCTATGTAACGATAACTTAACTTGAAGACTTTCAATTTATAAGTTTTATCACTCATATAACAAAACTTACGGCGCAGATCAAGTTGAACTTCCGCGTGTTTTATCTATTGACTCAAGCTATTAGTTTCTTTCCTCAACTGTGTGCATGCGTCATCTAAAGATTTTTTCATACGTGCTGCTTCGCGCTGTAAAGCTTCAACGGTAGTATTAGCTTGTGCTAGATTGTGGACAGCACTATCTAAAGCCTGTCGCATCCCCTTCAGTTCCAATTCGAGCTCGTGCATATTCAACTGCGGGGTGTGTGATTGATTATTCTCTTCGTTAGCTGGGTTAGTCGGTGGGTTGTTCCAACTTTTGTTACTATGGCGCTCGCTTCTACGCCTCACAGTCTTACTGGATTTATTAGGTCATCATACACAACCATACGTTCAACCAACTCTTTCTGGGCTTGATCTTCACTCTCCTGAAGCCCCCTACTTCTTGCTGCCATAAACTGTTTTTGGGTCATCAGAATCGCGATTTTTGTCAGGTGAGTGATCTTATTCTTTTTGACAATGTACTTGTCTGGTATATGCTTACGACATACTCTAAAATCCATACCCATAAAGGTATCAATACTCTCACTTTCTTTCACCCTACCCAGTTCCACCAACCACCTCTTACGAATAGTTTTTTTCCTTCGGCACTTCATGCATGGGGTTGTCCTTGGTACCTGCATCCTTACAATACGCTTCGGATAACCATGTAAATTTTCAATATCTCCACAGTTATAAGTGGTACAAAAATCGGCATACATGAGAAAAATGTGAATAATTTCAAAACAGAATTTTGGATCGGTTCCAGTTTAGCAAGAGAGCAAATTAGGGCAGATTCTAACTCCCCAGCCTCAGAGCTAGGGCTCTGTCGTCTCCAAAATTTTAAATTTTAAAATGCTATTTATTTTTTTTGAATTTTTTTTTGGGATGTCCAAACTCAGATTAGTTGGGTCGCATCCTCTGATTGACTTTCCATATTGTTTCTACTCTGTGTATTTGTGTGTTTGTAATATTTTAAAGACGTGGCATTATCATCAATTTTTAAAATTGGGGTTCAAGTCCCAAAAGTGGATTTGACCCAGTGTAAATATTGGAAAAGTCCAGAAGTCCATTTTACCTAGTGTAAAGGTGGAGTGGGGGGGGATATAGGATATAGGGGTCGGGGCCCAAAAAATGGGAATAATGAACATAGGCTCTATCGACGCGTCTCGTCCAGGGCTACACGTGGATCCACTTTTTATATTTATAAAAATTAAAAACTCAAGAAGTTATTCAAGTTTGAAAATTTACCCGGAGACGCAGGTTCTTGCCCCTCTGCACCATAGTCACTACTAGTAGAGGTTGGGACGGTGGGTACGAAATATGTACTGTGGTCTGTGGACACTGGACACTGGACAGCCTGTGGTAACTCTGGTCAGACCGTAAGTGTGGTGACTGGTGACTGGTGCCTAATAAAGTAATAACTCAAACAGACTCTAATACCGGTAACCAGACAATCTACTATAGTAGTACTGTTCGAAAATAAAGTGGTTTTTGTACAGTAGCGCGTTGTGCAATATCGGCATCGTACTCCTGCCAGAAGGCTCAGACACGCTTGATATTCATAGAGGAATGTGGCGGCCTGAGTGTAGTGGACTCGAAGATAGGGGATGGAAGAGGTGTCTGGTCGCGGCGCTCGTGAGAGTGTTCACGGTTCTTGTGAGACTGTGCTCGATTCCTCAATGTGATAGTTGTCTCTCTGGCGAGTGGAAGCGCTTCTCTTGCACGGTGTCATTCACAGCCGCGGTCGTTGTCGCTCATGCGGGAGATATGGAGCCGTGGAAGGCTGGAACTGGTAGGAGGTGGGCGTCGTGTCTCGGACTGTGGTGTCCGGTTCGTAGAGGCTATTGCTGTGCGTGCACGTGCCTGACCTCGTGGTGAGCGTGACCGTGCTCGTGCCCGTCGCGGTGGGGGGCGTTGTGAACATGCTGTGCACGTGTTCTTTGTGGTGAGCGCGAGCGTCGATCAGTTGCTCGTCGTGGTGAACGTGAACGTCGATCCGTGCGTGGTGCGTCAAGTGCGGTGGGCTGCCCAGATGGACGGAGCTGGTACTGTGCCTGTCATCAGGTGTGACATGGCGAGGCACAAAGAAGTGGTTTGGATCAGCGTCGGAGGCGATCGGTGGTGCAATCGGTAGTGCACTGGTGGCCGTAATCGGCTGGGTAGTCATGTACGAACTCTCGACTCCTATGTCGGACTCGGCGGACTTGAGCATTCCTATTTCAGCATCGGCAATTGGGTTAACGGGCGGCGTGGGTGGTGTAGCCTTCTCCGCAAGGCGGTATATGACTGACAGGACCCCGTACTTAGCAAAGTATGAGAGGTAGAGCAGTTTAGTACGGTCGTCGCGGTATTGCGCCGTGTCGAGACGTCTCGCTTAGTCTAGAAGCTCAGAGATATTCTCAGGACGGCAAAGGTGTGCAGAGGCACCATAGTGAACGATGAGATAGCGCTCGACGATGATCACGGTAGCTCCAAAGCCAAGATCAGCCATCATCTTAATTTGTATAGCTTGGTCGACATGGCGTAGGAGGAAATCGACTCGAGCGTCATCGGCTGGGAATCTAGTATACTCACGGGATAAACTTAGCATTCTCCCATAGTGAGAAAAATATAATTATGGGCTTCCAGCGCTCTTCATATTAGGTGGGGAGTGTCTGGACCACAGTGGTCGAGCTTGGTTCTAGAAGAGCTTAGTTCTAGTAAACCCCATGGTACACGATGTTTACTATTGAGAGAACTAAGCTAGTTGGTTTAGCCGCGCTAGAACCAGTGTACAAAAGGGTCAGTAGGGCTGACTCTGTAGTCTTAACCAGGAGTCCCAGCTCCTAGGTCCATGCCCTTCTGTCTCTAATCGCACGTGTTCGGTTGTCCTGGGCCTGGAGTAGTAGGGCCGTCCATCGTCCTGTCCCTAGGGCTGGACTGTCCGAACCTCCAGTGATCATCCGCTACTACATTCATTATTTGTTTTGTAATACTGTGATCTAGGTGGGACAAACTGGGTCCTAGCTCGATCAGGATCGGACGGGGCCATACGACAATAATGACTAATGGGACTAATTAGGGGATGGTTTATGATAGGCCAATTATAATATATCCATTGGTCAATAGTAAAGGGGAAGACCCACATGGAGGATTACTATATTGAAGTGAACCATTAGCTATGAAGCTAATGTGTTGGACTAGGAAGAGGATCATTTGTACACTTGACAGACTGGCAACGTTGAAGCGAAATATCTAGTTTAGTTAAATAAAGTGAAGTGTACCCTAGAATATACACGAACTACAACTAAACTAGCTTGAACGTACTCAGCTGGTAGAACAAGCAACCTCAAAGGAAATTTTTTTAGGACTAGTTTTGGTTTACCACCGCGAGGTTGCAAGACGAGAGTGCCAAGATGTCCTCTAGTGAATTTGACAAGCCACCACGTATCTATATGGGTGCAAAACAAGACCCTATTGGCGCGTTCCTCAAGCCTTGAAAGAAGTTCACTCGGGGGGAAACATGCAGCACATTAGCGAAGGGACCCAACATCAGAAGCGACCTGTTGGAACTCATGTACGAGTATATTGACCAGTCAGTACTCATAGAAGTTTATCCTTTGTTACCAGACGAACCGGGGATACAGGATGTGGAACGGGGTTTGATCGAACATTTGGGGCAGCTAGTTACCTGTTCGGACCGGGATATACAGTAGACTTGCCTGTGAAAGCGATTGAGTTGAGTGACTTATCGGAAAGAGCAGCGTGGAGCAGAGCAGTCATGATAACAGTTAGCGGAATTTGCCGTAGGAAGAATTATCTATACCACGGAATCGGCATTGAACCCGCAAGGGCGTGGCGATGCAGCAACAACAGGACTAATACGAAACTATTGGAACAACCCCAAAAGACAACACAAAAGCCACCCACAGCAGACCAAAGAGTCGTAGAGCCTTTATGGTTAGGCGGAGCGTTGAAGGGTCGACCAGCCAACCAGGTTTTAATCGGCAGGGATGGCGTCGAAAAGTATGCGAGTGACGAGGAGTCAGTGGACACGTTGAGGGAGTGCCTATTAGCAGAGAAAACCCTCGTGGATTTACAGCAACGTGAAGCGCGTGAAGACGAGGCAGCTGAAGAGAAGAGAAAGGAGGAGTACTTGAGGAAACAGCGTCGTCGCGAACAGGAACGCGAGGAATGGAAAGCCGCGAAGAAAAAAGACAAGGAATTAACAAGACAACAAGGTCGGTCGGGAGATCTACGGGCACAACTCTCGTCGAGAGAGAACAGCCGTAGCCGCAGTCAACAACGTAGTAAGACACCACGAAACAGGAGCCAGAGCAGAAGCCGTTCACCGGTGAGGGATAGAGCACGGTCACCACCCACATTTGGAGCCTCTAGATTTGCACCGTCCAGCACGACAGGGAGTAAAGCAGAGAGTTTCTACAGGGAACGCGGGTAAGACAAAGCCGAATGGGCGAAAGATAGGCTGTGTAGAATAAGTGTTCCGGCACCGGATGTAGAAATGGTGAATACGTTAATGGAGGAAGCACGGACGTCACCGGTTATTATTAAACCGCAAGGAGGCTCATGGAAGTGGGGCGGAAATTAATGGATCATCAGTGGAAGAGAGGATGTATTAGATGCAACACACAAGGAAGTAATGTATTTGGATAATGCAGCAGGTCGGTGGAGACCGACCACCAAAACCAAACACCTATACATCTTTGTAGACAGAACAAACTTGTGGTTCCCTCGCAGCCGCATGTACAATATTAATGGATTGTGTTTACCACGTTTTGGGGACCATCAAGGTCGGCACAAGTTACGACATCCAGTGTTACAGGGACAAAGACTTTCATCAAAGGCGAGCACCGTATGACACGCCACGGAAAGCTACAAGCACAACAACGCACATCATACCGTGGGTGGCAATTGACGAAAATCTAAGCCAGGATGCAGCGAGAGGAGGAATTTTTGCAGCGCAAGCAATGTTACACGCAGTTACAAAGAACACAAATTTGCGATCAGCATTGATTTCTATATACAATATCGACACAAGCACCGTTAGTTACAGCACTCAAGGAATTGCAAGCGGCAGGAAGAACTTTTATTAACGCAGCATTCCCGTCAGCCAATAGAGCAACTTTATTAGATGCCTACGAAATGTTCGGACCAGGAAGAGCAGCAGTACATGCTGCGAACCTAGCAGCAGCGTTTAGGGGTGAGCCACAACCACATTTTGGGGATAGAGATAGAGCACGAACGCCAGAACGAGGAAGATTGCACAATAGAGAAAGGAATAGACGAAGTGTGAGTAGAGAATACACCAGAAGTAGCCGAGAGACCAGCAGAAGCACTAATAGAGATCAATCTTACAGTGTGAGAGGAAGGTCACAATCACCGGGTTTCAGAGCGCCCACGTGTAATAGATGTTTATCGAGACACACGGGATCCGTGTGTCATTTATGCCATATCTGTCACAAAACAGTGCATTATCAGAACACATGCCCACAAGCACAGGCATCTTCTGGTACTACACACATCAAAACAGTGGCAGCAGCGACAATCTCAGCTAGAGGTAGTGGAGGAGCACCCAGTGGAGGAGGCAGACGAGTACAGGCGGCAGCAGCAGCAGCAACCACGACAACAAGCCAGCCTCAGGAGGTGCAACAGGTACCATACTACTTGCAATGACATGATGCAGGAGCTGCAATAGATAGGGACAACAGCTCCGATGAGGATGTGTGGACAGAGCCAGTGACAGAAGCACTTTGTAAAGATGAGCATGCGTGGATCTACAATGATACGGGAGCTAGATCAGCGATGATCCATGAAGAATATGCGTGTACACACGACATAGAAATCACGGATATGACACCAACATATCTACAAGGCTTTGGAGGAGCTGGAGAATCAGTGTTAACACAGAAGGCGAAAACGACGTTTTTATTGAACGTCCGGGCAGCAGATGGGATGCCCACGTTTTATGAAACGAAGGAAATCACATTCCTAGTATGCAGTTGGTTGCCACAATATTGCGATATTTTAGTTGGTTTTGATGTAATGCAAGACAACTTGCTGGGGACGAGTTGGGACAAATCTACAGAACCGCCAACTTTTACGCTACAATTGCCGAAGTCACAAGACGTAGCTTTCTTAATTCCGAAACAAGACGAGTCTTGGACGGAAATAGATATACCTAGGAAGCCGGACTTGGATGGGAAAATGCCTGACGAGTACGATTTCACACACCTCCGACGAGTAGGGAACCTATAAAGAAAACAGGAAGAGATGGAAAAATTAGAAAACAAGTCCCTTAAGGCGAGATACGACCCGAGACACACCAAATTCATCAAAGGAGTTGCGGTCAAATTGCAAACCCAAGAGGGAGCGAAGCCCTTCACGGTCAATTTACTTTACAAAGGACCCGTTGTTGAAGGATATTGATATCCAAAAGGTAGCACAACTTTATTGACAAGGCAAAGCGGGACCAGGTAACCGGTACAGCAGGTGGGTCAGCTCAGTAAAGACAGTTAGGAAGGATCCGAGGGTGGAGCCAAAGGATTTGAAGGATTATCGAATAACAATAAATTATATCAAGGTAAACAAACAGATGGTTAGAATTGCGTACCAATTACCTTTGGAGGACGACATGGGCGAAAATGGCACCAACGCACTCATCATTACAGTAGCGGATTTAGCGGCGTCATACCACCAGTTAGAATTGGATGAGGGCTCACGAGATTACTTGACAGATAACGGGGCGTTCGACATGCAGCATTTTACGGATACGTTTTTTGCTGATGTTACAGATCATAAGCCTTATATTGATGATAATAAGATAGCGACTCATAGGCGGCACTCCGAATCAGTAGTAGAAACGTTGGAGAGGCACTGGCAGCAAACGATACAGTTCATCGATATATGTATAGAATACAACATACAGTTGCAACCAAAGAAAACACAGATCCTGCACCTAGCAGACATACCGACAGTGTTTTACGGCAGAGGGACAGTAGGAAATGCAACGATGATCATGAAGGAAAGAGCCCAGGCATTATTTGACAGGCCGGCATCTAAAAGCAAGCAAGAGTTAATATCCTTGTTAGCCGTAATACCGTGGTGGTCGAAGTACATACCCAATTATGCATCGATAGCGGTGCCCATGTCAGACCTAACAAAAAAGGGAGCAGTATTTGGATGGAAAGCGCAACAACAACAAGCACTTACCCACCTGTTAACATTGATTATGAAAAGGATCAAGTTGTACGAACCTTTATCATGCCAGCGTTTAGTCATCATGCCGGACGCATGCAATTGGGGGTAGAGGCAGCGGTGTTTGTTCAGATACCACCACCAGGGACGGTGGAGTATGATGAGGAACAAATCTGTATAGGGGAATGCAAACGATACAGAGAAATCTTAGGGCTACCACCCCTCATATTGCACCCACAAACACCCCGTTTAGTAATTTCTGAGACGGAACAATCTATATATAGCACAATGGATAAGGCGGAGGTAGTATACAACCCGATAGACGAGTTGAGGACAGTGCCAGGTTTCAAACCATTTGTACCTAGAAATGCGGCTACTGGCATACTCAGGGTGGAAGAACAGGAACAACAGGGAGCACGAGCGCAGACACAAGACGTAGTGGTTCGGCACCAAACACCAACTCAGAGTGGCACACTTGAGATACCTTTGAACACTCAGAGTGGTTCACTTGAGTCCAGATATACAACTCAGAGTGGCACACTTGAGACGGCAACGGGGTTACAAACAAATCAGAGTGGTGCACTTGCAGTGGATGCGGTTCCAACGATGACAGAAGACCTACAGCAAGTGTTGAATGATAGTCCCAGAGACCAGGGTATTTCCATAAGAAGACATCGTTTCCTGTATCCAGTGGCCTTTTTCTCTAGTAAGCTCAATACAGCGCAGCGGAACTATAGCGCCACAGACCGAGAAATGGTGGGATGTATTTACGCATCTAGAAAGGCTTTAATCCTCTGTAGGCGATCAGTCCGTTCAGTATTTTTAGTGACCGACCACAAACCTTTGGTTAATATTTTGGCAAACCCAGAACCGTATCTTCACAGAGAGCTCCAAAAACAGCATAATCATTCGAGCATTGATTACCATTAACGAAGTGGTAATGGATGTTCAATATGTTGAAGGCTCTCTTACGGTTTTTGGCGATTATTTCTCGAGATCTACAAGTCCCATGGACCCTCTACTGCGGCCTACAAAGAAACAGGTTGGGTTTGCACAAGAGGAGGTTAAGCAAGGGGAGAACAAACATCCAGCATGCGCGTTGGTGTTAGCACCGCGGGGGCATAGAGTAACGTGGAGTCATGATAGAATAGACGACACCCAATTCACTATAGACGGTGCTAGGGAGAGTTCTACACCGCACACACACCCCGATAGTTACACATTTAACCCTGTGTGGGTGGCACTGATGAACCAACTCCTTGGACCATTTGACATAGAACTGTTTGCGAGCCATGGTGACCACGTGTTAGACATGTATTGCATGAAGGATGGCTCAGGCCCAGCGGGGTGCCAAGCTTTCGAAGTCGATTTAGCTAATATCCGTGCCTACATGATTGGAAGTTGATAGCAGCATTTTTACACTCGTTCAAACACATCGAGAATACGTATGTGGTAGCGGTAGTACCGTTCTGGCCGACAGCCGAGTGGTTCCCGTTATTGATTAGTTTAACACAGGGCACACCATGGATCATACCTCATACGTCCGACACATTTCTACATAGGGGGAAGCGTATCCTAGGGCTGCCACCGTGGAAGTATTCATTGGTGATGGGGGGTATCCGTTGGTACCCTGTTGGACAGGAATCGCAGAGCAGGCCAGCACGACGCCGAGGATTTTGGCCACGGGACCGACGAACAAATCCTGAAAATGGTTGAGTTCGAAGAGAGCACCGACGTCAAAGGACTTGGGGGAAGAGAATACTCCTCTCAGGAAATGGAAGTTTGGAACAGGTAAGTCAATACAGTCG